AGTTTGCAAGTACCCCATTGTTTCCTTACTTAATTCAATCCTACTATTTTCCCATTTTTAATGTTTTTTATTTATCTATTATAAATGTACATTGTTAAGGCATAAATTTTTGAGGGTATTTTTGTGGTTGGATTTCAAGGATGTTAATTTTGTGATTTCATGCATACCAATAGACATGATTAAAATGATTGATATGGCAAAAATCAGTTTTTGAGCCTGTGTACATGTACGTGTATATGTTAGATGTACATGTACATCTATGTGTACATTTGGCAAAATTTTAACAGGTAAAAAAAGGGTAAGGGGGCAAAAATTCTATCCAAAAACTAGAAAACAGGCTTAAATTTTTTAAAAGACCTTATACATCAAGCATGGACGACAATACAAAACAGATAGCGCGTTGAATGGATCGTGGACTCACTCCACTAACACAATGGAGGACAGACTGGAAGGTACACAGATCAGCCTCAGGAGACATAAGTCAGACTAACATGATTTAGTCTCGCGTAACAGACGACATTATAAATTTATTAACAGTTATTAAAAATTATTAAAAACTTAATGCAGCAAAATAAAAGGCTCAGCAAAGTATAAATAACAACAACAACTAAAAAAGCAACTCAAAAAAAGAAAAAAGTCATCAACTGCATGGAAGATTGCATCAGTCATCTTCAAACTTTTGCAATTTTAATAAAAATGCCATCCTTTGGATATTGCAAAACTGCAACTACCATTTTCAATGGTACCTACATGTATATAGATAAAAATTAAAAGTAGTACTTTCGTGATTGTGATCAGCTAACCTGAGTATCAGGTGATCTTTCAAACCTATACTTCCTCAATATACTCACTAAGCAAGCCTTAGCCTCCATTAGTGCAAACCTCATTTCAATACAACTCCTTGGTCCTGAACCAAAAGGAATGTAAGCCTGAGGATTCTTACCCTCCTTGCCTTCTGGGCTAAACCTATACATCAAGAGGAACCATTAATGATTGATTTTTAAATAGATCAAACCGTTTTGGATTGAAAACTTCAGGCTGGTCCCAATACTCTGGTGACATATGCATCTTTAGTATTGGAATAATAGTTCTACATCCTTCAGGGATTGTGACGCCATTCATTGTACATGTCTCGTTACACAAACGAGTGGTACTAAGAAATAAATAAAAGTAAAAAAGGACCATAGTACTCAATTACATTGGTGCTGGTGGATATATACGCAGTGCCTCCTGAATGACCCAATCAAAATAAGGAATGCTTTGTGAAGCATCATACAAAAAAGGATTCTATGAATAGATACAATACAAGTCTCGTCACCCAGCCCCTTCGTCGTAAAGTGAAGGGGCTGGGCGACCAGATTAATACACAATACAATAATAATAATAGCTTCATTGAGTTCATTCCATATAATACTTACCTCATTTTCCTCATAGTAGTCATCAATGGCTTGACACAGTTCTTTTTGCTCATGAGGATTTATTTTGATTAGTGTGATAGTGTCAATTATTTTGTCCCTTAGAGATTCATATCCTGAAACGATAGCAAAAATTCATTTCATTCAATCACTTTATGTGATATAAAAACAAAACGTATGACTCGATACATGATTTTAAAAAGCTTCAATTATCAATCACTGTCAGTGTCACTGCCAAATTGTTACATTTAATTTATGAATCTTTGATAATGATCATCAACTATCTGAACAATATTAACTTCATTCTCTCTCACATGATACTTGTAACGTTTAGCCAGTATCACAAATACTATCAGTATGAAAATAGCATCACTACACTTTCAATGCTACATTGAACTAAATCATAAAACTTCCAAATACTGGCACTATTAATGGCTAGCTTGCTAGTAAAAATAGCACATTAAAGATGACTATCAGCAAATTCAGCAATCAAGCCACATGCATGTACGACATTTTTGTCTGTAACAGCTTTGTAGATTTCAGGACTTTAACAAATGTAGCATAAAATATCATAATCTTTAAAGGGGAATGAAGCTAAATAGTGTCTTGGTAAAAATTTTAAACAAATTTAGAAATTTTTTAATTGCTTTGAATTTGGCGTACATGAGTCTTGAACGAAAATGGTTAAGGGAGACTTTTCAATTTTATTACATTTCATGATACAAAATTGCGTGTACATGTGCATGATTGCATTAAATGCGCTAGTAATTTTAATGATGTAGTTTACATCAAGAGTAGATAACTCTTGTTTACATGAAAGCTTAATCGAAACATATGTACTAAGAGTTCAAAATATTTGCTATAGTGTATACAAAATGACAGGAAAATTATTTTAATATTGAATTGAATAATGAATGTCATCATTTTCATCCTTCTTGTATTGTTCCTCTTGTTCCATGTATCTCTGATAATGATCATCAACTATCTGAACAATATTAACTTCATTCTCTCTCACACGATACTTGTAACGTTTAGCCAGTATCACAAACACTATCAGTATGATAAGAACTAGTACCATCTTTGTTATATAATAACAGAAACTATATGTATTGACTTTCACAATCAAATGGAAACTTAAAAGTAATGTTAACAATATAGCTAATTCCAGAAGTGACAAACCACAATCCAACCATAACTCCTCTCATGTGTACTGGAGACTGAGCTACTGTAAACTCCAGTGATACTGGATACAACAAAATAAAAGTAAGACTTCGAATAATCTGTGGTATAAAGAGAAATTGACTAAAGTTGTTTATGTTTGGATGAGACCTCTCAAAGACAAATATGATCACTTTAGAAACTGTAACAATGAAAGCAAGGAAGATACCAACACTCATTCTAGTCAGCATACTGGGAATATACTTGTAGAAACAAACTCTGATAAAGAATAGATAAAGTAACATTAAAATGCCTGAACAAAAATAATACTGAGAGTCTGTTATTGCAAAGCAAGTTGGTAATGTAAAACCATCAACGGCAGACCAATAGGCATCATTACTGAGATAAATTGCACCAAAACCAATGAATAATGGTAGCATACGAAATACTGTCTTCACATCTTCTACCTCTTCCTCTGTAAATGGTCCACCATATTTATCCTTACCCAGGTCTAGTCTTGAAGGAGCCTCTTCCTCCCAGTAGGTCAGAGCACTACGATTCTCAGGATACTTGTGCTTCCTGGCATAACACAATACTCTAACTATCAGTTTGATGGGATTCTTGATCTGTGATATGTTCTCCAGTTTGTGTTTGAAGAATGAATGAGACAGGCATGACTGGTTAAAAGTTAAAAGTGCAACTGAGCGTGTTTTTGTGATAATAGGACAAGTCACATGACAAATAAACCACTTAATGACTATCAGCCTCCGGAAACCTCAAATGAGGAGAGAGGAGGTTTGAAATTTTGCAAAGGCCACTCCCAAAATCCTGCCTGTAACCACAGCTGAGGGGTTGGTAACAACCCCAGGAGTACATGGATAAGACCAACCGCATCAACGGTAGGAGCACAGCTGGAAATGACATGTCAGTGCTGCCGAATGGTCCAGCACCAACAGCGTGATGCCATGGCTGTCTTTTGCCATTTGTTAAGATTCACAAAAATAAGATTAGACAAAATTTAGCTGATACAATACAAGATGGTGTAATGATTTAATTTGCACAGATAAAATCCAGCATAAAAATGATTTTTGGGTGGATCTGCAAAAACTTAATCCCGCAAAATTTTTCCGCTATACAGTAATTATGAAGAGCATCATCGCTGCCAATGATTTCTTTCCTAACTTGTGATATTATTATGACCATTTCAAGATGTTCCTTTAGTTTACCAGTTTTAGCAATGTTGTTGGTGTATCTATATATGCACACAAAACCCCATCAGACCATCAGGTCTGATTATGGCTAATAAAGTTAATGAAGTAGCTCAATTAATAATCAAAACTGACTTTCTAGAGGACAATAATAAGTGAATAAAATGGTTCAATTTGTATGCAGTGAAAGATAATGACTGTCATTTGAAAGCATAATAATAATCAATACAATAAAGTAACCATTAGACACTATATAGTAACTGTATTGACACTTCAAGTAGCTTAATGACATACATAACTTGAAAACAATCATAGGAATATGAAAAATAAATTCAAAATAGAAACACACCTTAATTGACAACTGAATTAAGCATCAATGCTAGAGTGAACTTGAAAACAATAAAAATATTTAATTAAATAGTCAATTCATTATAAGTAGATACTGTCATTCACTGGAGGAGTCACTGTCAATGCCACTCATAAATTGCTCCCTTTGATTTATGTATCTCTGATAATGATCATCAACTATCTGAACAATATTAACTTCATTCTCTCTCACACGATACTTGTAACGTTTAGCCAGTATCACAAACACTATCAGTATGATAAGGACTAGTACACTCTTTGTTATAT